ATCAGCTTAATTTGGGGCATCTTAACACAGCGGCTGGTGCTGTTGGAGGCTGCCGGGAAGCTGATGTCTTGGAGCTGCCGCCCTGTACATGCGCGCAGCGTCTTTTGATTGGAGGCGCTGCCGCCTCCCTCGCCCCAACCCCCAGCCACTTGGGCTGCGTCTCCCTTTCTTAGAGATTCTCTGGCCTGTGTGCGTTTACTTAGAGCCTAGAAAAAGCAGAGGTATATAGGAAAAAAGAGTTCTGAAATTAGAGGCTTGTCCTTTTTAAAGCCAGGCTCAGCTTTTAACTGAGCGAGCCTCTTCAGTTCTCCAGGCTTTAGTTCTCTCACCAGAAAATGAGAGCATTTGGCTGTTTGATCTCCAAATGCTCCTCGGACCTCCAGATTGTCTGATTCTGTGGCTATTTGTGTGTGCTATCTTATAATCCTGCCCCTTTGGAAATACTCTTAACTCCACTCTTCTCTTGACATGACCCTCTAGCAGAAGCAGCCTGGTTGGCTGTGAGGCAGGGTCTTCTTTCCTCCTGGTCACTGCCCCTACCCCAGTCCCATGCATTCTCCTGCCCTCCTGCTGTGGGCAAGAAGGGGGCTCTGTGGAGTAGGTACACTCTCCACCAGCTCAGTTCACGTGTCCCTTCGGAATCCAAGAAGGGTTCCTGCCTGATAAAGGAGGGTGTTGCGGTGCAGTGAGTGAGCTCTGTCTCCAGGAAGGGGGTGCCGATTCTCTCCCCACCGTCTTAGGGGAGCGCTCCACGTTGTTTATGCGAGACAGGCCCTTGCCCTCAGGAAACTGTTGTTCATCTTGCTGAGCTGAGAGTGAGGGGTTCGTGTAGTTGAAAGTTGAGCTAATAATTGCCAAGTTAGAGGGAAGTAGGACCTGAAGGAGGGTTAGGCGGAGACCCCGGAGAGGTTAAGTGTCCTGCTGTGTCACAGGTGAGTCTACAAGAGAGCAGGGCAGGGGACTGGGGGTCCCCCATCCCCAGGGTAACCACCTCAGTCGTCCTGTTGTCTTCCAGTCAGAGGGTCGAGGACAAAGCTCGCATGGTCAGTGTGCTTTGGACTGACATTAAGGTGGGGCTGACTGAAGGAAGGAGAGAGTGTGCACTTTGCATGAAATCTACAAATCTCCCTCCATTTTGTTCGCAACGGCCTGTGCGCACGTTTCGGCTGGAACATATGTCAGTTTGACTCTTCACACACGTTATCTCGAGTCCTGTGGCTCTGAAAGTCCAGGAGAAGTGACTGCCGAATGTCCCAGTCCTCCCCACAGAGTTTTCTCAGAACCGATCCTTTAAGGTCCCTGCTGGAAGGGAAGGCCAAAGAGCAGGAAAAGTAGGAACATTGGTGACCCGAAAGGGAAGGCTCTACATGGCCTGAAGTCAAGTTCTTTAGCCTCTGCAGCCTGGGCTCCCCACCGGGAGGACCGTCCTGGGTGGTGAATGCACTGACGCCACCTTATTGGGGTGGCAGATGCGCTGCCCCAGGTTACCTCACCGTGGGGCCAGAGCAGAGCCTCTGAGGAGGGAGAGCCAGGCGGGACTGGCGGAGCGCTAGGTTTTCTTGTCTAGGAGCAAGGTCTTCCACACGCTGCACGTCGGGAAGTAGTCGCCAGGCAGCTGTGCCATGTCCAGCCCTCTTTGATTTAAACACACCACATTGCTGACACCTGATAGGCATTTCTCTTTTAACTTAATGGTTCAGAGCTATTGTCTGTCCACACCTCTCTCTTTCACACATACACACACACACAGTCCGTCAATCACCTGAGAATCCTGCTGTCTTTTAATTTTTTATTTTATTATTATTTTTTCAGTGGCAGGGTCTCGCTCTGTTGCCCAGGCTGAAGTGATGTGATACATTCATACCTCACTGTAACCTCCACATTGGGCTCCAGTGATCCTCCCGGCTCAGCCTCCCAAGTAGCTGGGATTACAGACATGTACCACCATGCCCAGTTAGTTTCTTTGTAGAGATGGGGGTCTCACTATGTTGCCCAGGCTGGTCTCGAACTCCTGGGCTCAAGCAATCCTCCCACCTCGGCCTCCCAAAGTGTTGGGATTACAGGTACAAACCATTGCACCTGGCCCATCCTTCTTAGATAAAAGCTTTTAGGCCTTATTCTTTGGGTAGGATTTGTCTTCTGTGAAAAAGTATCAGTTGGAGGCAAGTATATAGTTACCACCTCCATGGCGTAGAAGTGCTCTGATTCATTCCCCCTGCCTCCTGGAAAAAAATTGTAAACATCCCCTTCTGAAGCATGATTGAGGAGCATCACATGTTAGCTTTTTGGATTTAGTTGATTACTGTGCAAGAAAAATAGAGAAAGAAGAAAATAACATGACTTTAAATTCTGAGGCCCAACATTCTGCTCAGTGAGTCTGCAGTGGGTGAGGGAGGGTGGATGGGATGTGACATAGGGTGCCGCCGTCCCTGTCTCAGCTCCGCCACGTCCCGTGGGGTGGGCGACTCATCACACCACGATGCTTCTGGCACTTAGAGATGGGTATTACCCTCCAGCACGGCCCCTCTGAACACATCAGCTCCTCACATGCTGCTCAGATGAAGAAAGAACTATCTATTCAAGCATTACAAGAAAAACGGACGATGAAACTCACTGTCCATCTCAGATGTAGGACCTTCCTAAGGACGTTCCACAGTCGTTTTGACTGTAGTCAGTTTGGCCTTACGTGTTCACCCCACATTAGCTTTGATTCTGTATTTAAGATTAATTGTTTTAAGCCAGGCATGGTGGCTTATGCCTGTAATCCTAGCACTGTGGGAGGTTAAGGCGGGCGGATTGCTCAAGGTCAGGAGTTCGAAACCAGCCTGAGCAAGAGTGAGACCCTGTCTGTACTATAAAAATAAAAAGATATTAATCGGCCAAGTAAACATATATATATATATATATAATTAGCCGGGCATGGTGGCACATGCCTATAGTCCCAGCTACTTGGGAGGCTGAGGCAGAAGAATCGCTTGAGCCCAGGAGTTTGAGGTTGCTGTGAGCTAGGCTGATACCATAGCACTCTACCCCGGGGAACAGAGTGAGACTCTGTCTCAAAAGATGAAGAAAAAAAAAAGATTGATTGTTTTAGATTATAAGGCTTTAAGGTTTTCAAACATCTATTGAAATGCAAGTGCACCCAGAAACATTGTACCTTTAGTCTTTACCGCCTAGCAAGTAGTGACTTGTGAGCACACAATGCCACGGGCCTTGGAAGAGCCCAGCAGGGAGGAGGGGGACGAGGCCCAGGAGATTCTAATCACTGGTCAAGGGGGTCACCTGGGGTAGAGGATGTGGCCAGGAGATTCCACAGAAACGTTTCAGCGATGTTAGCTGGTCCCTGGCTGCCCGTGTCTGGCTCCATCTCGTCTTTGTTCAGGGTGGTACAGAGACCGTCACTGCCAGTCACACCTGTCTTGTTCAGCACTCTCCCCAGCGCTGGACACAGCGGACCCTTCACCAGTCTTGAGCGAGTTAGTGCTAATCCATACCTCATTTCAAAGAAATCTAAAGAATCGGATTCCAGGACTGATTTGTCGTTATCCATAATAAGTAGTGATCATTTATTGGACTGCCACATAGCACTGCACATATATTATCCCAGTTGCTCTTGACTCTTTGAGTGTTTTGTTATCCTTACTCTACAGATGGGGAAGCTGACATCAGGAAAGTTAAATAACTTAGCTGCTACCTGCAAGAGTGGTGGGTGGGCAGCAAATACCACCCTCCCTCTTTTCTTCACTCTACTGTAAGTTACAGGTGATATTTCTTTTCTGCCTTTAGATCTCAGTCTGCTGTCATTCCTAATCTTAATTTTCAGTAAAAGCTGTAGTTTGTCTTTTAGAATTATTTCTTAAAAAAATAAAGCCGTAGTTTGAAATGTGGAATAGATGAGAGATAGGAAAGGAAAATTTAGGGTGCATTAGTAATTAGAAAATTTTTGTGCATTAGTAATTAATTCCAACTTTATTTTAGATCTTTGAAAAATAAAGAATGCTTGACAAGATAGTATCCTCTAGGTGAAAATTGCACAGTGATACACACAAAAGGGGGGGAAGTGTATATTCAACTGTGGAAAGACACAGGGAGGTTCAATTTAGCATATTTAGCTAACATATATGCTTCTTAAGAGAGAGGGAAGAAAGGTCACCTGGCAGAGGGCAGAGGCTGCAAAATACCTCCTGGCAGCAGGACTTCAGCTATCGCCCACTTACCAGTGTGAGCACAGTCCCTTCCTAGTGACATCTGTGCCTTGCCATCGAATTCCAGGCCACCCACCTAAGAGAAGCGTCTGCATAGGGCAAACACACTCTGAATTTCCCCTACCAAATATAGACTAATATTAAAGCAGTGCAGTGCATGTTCTTGTTTATTCCCAAGTCAGACAGCTCGGGTGTCCAGAATTTTGTAAACACTCTGCATTGTATTTTTATGAGGGTTAAGGAAGTGGTAAATAAACAGAAAATCAGAGATTTTTTTTGTTTTTAAGGGCTTACTCAATGTAGGTGAGGGTCAGCACAGTTCAGTCCATTGTCTTCCTTCTTATGTGTCCCTTGGGGCTGAGTTTGCCAATACTGCGGCACCTCCAGTGGCCATCCCCTTTTCTCTGCCACCTCCCAACTTTCCCGGGCAGAAAGCATCTGGTTACCAACCAGCCAGTACAGGCCATAAGTAGACCGTCATCTGGACCAGTGCTCCTCAAAATATGAATCATCTGGGATCCGCTGAAACACAGATTCCGATTAGCTTGGTCTGCAGTTGGCTGAGATTCTGTTTTCAAGCTCCCATGTGATGCCAATGCTGCCAGCCTGGGGACCCCACTTGGAATAGTGAGGTTCCGTGGCACCTCAAGAACATTTCTCCTTTACTTCACCTTTGTGTGTTCTGGAAAACTAGCATGAAATTATGCAAGCTGGATTATATATGTTTTCTTCATAAAATGCTGTGTGCCCTGTTTACCTTGCTAACAGCTCTGGTCTGGACTATTCTTCCTCTAGGATTGTCTCAAAGCCTGCCAGGAGCAGATTGAGGCGGTGCTTCTCAATAGCCTGCAGCAGTACCGCCAGGACCAGCGTGATGGATCCAAGTCGGAGGATGAACTGGACCAAGCCAGCACCCCTACAGACGTGCGGGATATTGACCTGTGAGGATGCCATTCGGGCCGAAAGAGAGAGGCGCATTCGTAATCTGCTCTCTCCTTCTCTCTGGTTATGTTTTGTTCTTTGTGTTTTAGGATGAAACTTAAAAAAAAAAAAAAATTCTGCCCCCCACCTAGATCATATTTAAAGATCTTTTAGAAGTGAGAGAAAAAGGTCCTATAAAAACAGAATAATTAAAAGCATTTGGTGCCTATTCAAAGTACAACATAAGGGAATCCCCTGTATATGCGAACAGTTATTGTTTGACTATATAAAAGCAATAGTAAAATGCTTACAGGAAAACCTGCAGAGTAGCTAGAAAGTATGTACGCCTGCAATATGGGAACAAATTAGAGGAGACTTTTTTTTTCATGTTATGAACTAGCACATACACCCGTTTTAGTATAATTTCCAGGAATTGTGTACGCCATTTATGGCATGATTAGATTGCAAAGCAATGAACTCAAGAAGGAATTAGAAATAAGGAGGGACACGATGGGGAGGGAGTACAAAACAATCTCTCAACATGATTGAACCATTTTGGACTTAGAAGCAACTTCGCTCTCAACCACCCGTCACTAAGCCAAGAGTATTGTCAGATCTCTGTATTATGTCCTTTTGTTGTCTACAGTAGCTGCTACCTAAAAAATGTTTTACTTTGCCAGTTGGACACAGGCAATTGGTTCCTAGGTTTCCCGTTTTGTGATATCCTTCCTGCTTCTTCTTCCAAACGTGGTTCGTTGCAGACACCACCATACTGTTATCCAATGGGGATAACTTAGCTATGGGCCGTAACCAAAACTCAGATGAAATGGGGACAGATGGAGACCAAGGGCGGGATCTGGAATGCAATCTTTTCTCTTACTGTATTCAAGAGGGTAATGTGACCTTGGCATCCCTTATTAGGAAAAACTAATTTTTGGTGCTGATTGGCATGTCTGGTTCACAGTTTAGCATTGTTATAAACCATTCCATTCGAAAAGCACTTTGAAAAATTGTTCTCGAGGGATAGATGGGATGGTTTATGCAAATCATGCTGAATACTCCTTCCCTCTTCTCTTTGTCCCTTCCTGTCCTGCCCCAGTGTAGGTCCCTATTCACTTCTGGTATCTGACATTCTCTGGTACGTAGTTCTGGTGCCCCTACCAGGACTCGAGAGACACCCTTTCTGCTGACATTCCCATCACAACATTCCTCAGAAAAGCCTAAAAACAAAGATGTTACCATTTTTATGGCACATCTTAATTCCCATCTATATACTCTCCTTTGGACATGGAAAGAAAAGTTATTGCTAGTGCAAAGGAAGACAGCTGAACATCAGGTGTGGCATTTTGTTCCCTTTTCCGTTTTCTGTTAATTTTATTGCAAAGTTGTATTCAGCGTACTTGAATTTTTTTTTTCCTCTCCACTTCTTAGAGGCATTCAGTTAGCAAAGATGTTGGAGCAACAACTTTTTTTTTTTTTTGCACAATTGTAATTGACAGGTAATGAAGCTATTTGTTAAAATATTTGCATTTTTTAAGTAAAAAAGAAAAATCAGAACAGGGCTACTTTGAAGAATAATTTTATACACAGATTCTGCCTTGTTTCATAGTATGAGGGATGAAGACGGAGAAAAATCTAAGGGTCTCTTATTTTTCATTTTATTTTGTTCAGTTTTTTTATTATTTTTTTTTGCGCTGCTAAAAAGCTAAGATCGTTCATCCTTATTCACATTAACAGTACCTAGCTGTAATGTTTCACAGAGTGTGCTGCTATTTTATAAACATTTTTATAATATATTATTTTACTGCTTAAATTCCAATTCCTGAAGTAGATGGTTGAGATATGAGTTCTTCGTACTGGAAAAGCCCTTCCATAGTTTGTTTTCTTCCGGTAGCATATTCATGATTGTTTTTTCTTTTTGGTTTTTTGGGGTTTTTTTCTCTGATCACATTCTTCAAAGACAGAGTATTCTTTACCTCAGGTTTACTGGACAAAATCAATAACTACAAAAGACAATGATTCACATTTTTGTTTTCATAATACCTCACAGCCATACAGTTTCTGCTTGGGAGCCCATTAGTGTGAGGAACACGCAAGGTGAGCCGGTGGGGCACTGGCCCTCTCGGATGGAAGGCAGGGTGGATTTGGCCCAGGGTCTCACCCCCGGGTATCTTTTCCATCACGAAGGCCATCAGGCTCCCATTGTGACTCCGGTATCCTCATCATGATGGAAAAAATACATTGAACCAAGGGATCCTCTCTCCCCTGCAAGGCAGACATTCAACACAAACATTTATGCAGCGGACTAGGAAGTCATAATTTGCACTTAGGTACCAGGTATCAGGAAACAAACTCAAAAGATTCCAGCAGGCTGTTGGAGATCCTCCTCTGGCAGCTTTTTCAAACACAGGGCTTTCATGTGTGTGGGGCCCTTTCATCTTGACAGTTTTCCGTGTATCTCTTCCGTTCCCTGGCATGGACACTCCCAGTCTGGGATCATCTCTGACGTTTTCCTAGGTCTGAATCTGTGGGTAGATGAATCTGCAGCGTGCAGCGTTGGTGGTGCTTTCTCCCCCTCCTGTCTCTCACTGCACAGGCAAGCATTGTGCAAGGCCAGGTCCTCTGCGGAAGCACTAAATGGGTTTTAGGTTTTAAAATCACATTGAGTTGGCATGATAGAAAAAATGGGTCAGATGGGTATGGGATGGTAGCTGGAGGCAGATAAAGAGGCTGTTTCTCTGCAGAGATGAAATTCCAGATGAGTCAGTCTCTTGTGAAGTGTGTTTAGAAGGGTTCAGGACTTTGTGAGTTAGCATGACCCTAAAATTCTAGGGAATTTCTGGTGGGACGGTGGGTGGTGAATTCTGAAGTTGTGATGAAGAAAGTTGAGCAGCCAGCCAGTTGGCCAGTGTTTTATCAAGAGCCCACTTTGCATAGCACATGATTCTGGGCCCCAAGGAGTCCCACAGAATGGGGAAAGCCTAGTCCCAGGAGTTTGTGGGAGTTTTTGTGCCTAAAGAGAAAATGAGGTGCAAATTCATTTTACAGTGACCAACTCTTGTGCTTAATCAGAAGCAGCAGGTGAAAGAACTCAAGGAGGAAAGGAACAGGCACTTGCAGTCTGTGACTCTCCACTCTTCTGTAGCCCCCGGGCCCATGGGTCCTTCTGGCTTTTTCTTTCCCGCCCTGGGGGCCTAGTGTGATGTGGGTGTGGGGCTGCTGCCGGGTGCTGGGCGATTTGGCTTTTCTGCCTGCTCCCCACTTAAACAGAAGAAGGAATCCTGGATTTGCTCAAGTGACCGATGCCCTCTCCCTGGATCTTGGTCTCCTTGTTGGAGTTTTTGTTCCAGAGGGGTTCAAGTCTCCACATGGATTTGAACTTGCTCTTTTTTTTTTTTTTTTTTTCCTATTTCTCCCCTCCCACTAAAGGGGTTCCAAATCTAGTCTGGTCTTTTTCTACTTTGTTGCTTTTTCATCTCTTCTTTACTTCCTCTTCTTTGTTTTTTCTCCATCATTGGGGGCTATGTTGTTCCCCCAGCCTGCCAAATTTTGATCCTTCCCCTATTTTGGCCAAATCCTAGGGGGAGGAAAGCCTAGTATGCCAAAAATATATGCTAAGTATAATTAAATTCCATGCGGGTTCGTAACAGCCAAGAAGCCTGCAGGAGAAGGCAAGGGCAGTTCCCTCAGCAGAACCCTCACGGCGCCGACAGGCGCGCTCCTTGGAGAAGGGGCTGCTCTCACCACCTGGTTACCCTTGGTCTATGTGCTCTACACTGGAGGCTCTGCCTCTTTTATCAGCCAGGTCCGGGGCACGCATGGGTTGGAGGCTTAAGTGGCAAAGCCAGAGGAGAAAACAACCCTGACAGCATCACACTGCATCCCTTTGCCAGCAGGACGGGCGGCTCTTCAGAAGGAGCTGCAGCTTTCCTGTGGTCTAGCACCTTCGGGGCCTCTCCAGACTGTGCCCTGGGAGCTCTGGGACAGACAGGTTAAGAACAGTAGGCAGGATTGGATGGTTTTCTCAAAGAGGGCAGGGGAATTTTCTCTCCATGGGCCACAGGGGACAGGGCTGGGAGAAGAAATAGACTTGCACCTTATGTCATGTAAATAATTGATTTTCTAGTTCACAAAGATAATGTTGATAGTGTGGGAAATGGAAGTAGGAATGAGGAGGAAGTCTGAGTAAGCCAGCTGGCTTCTAAGCCAAAAGGATTCCTCTTTGTTTATCTTTGAGACAGCCCAACCTTGAGAATAGCTTTAAAAGGGAAAATAGTGCTGAGACAGTAAAGTCCCCTAAGCCAACAAACTCTGTAGCTATAGAATGAGCACAGCTTCTGTTGCTGTGGACTTGGAGCTGTTTTCAAGAGCTGCTCATGCGGCAGCCGTCCATTTGCACCAAAATAGGGCAGGAAGATTCAGGAGGATGTTTATTACTTCCTCGCACCACATGGCTTTTAATGATTCTGGATTCTGAACAACCCAGAATAGTCGTTTCAGCCAGAATGACTCTACATCTGTGTGTCTCTGCTTTTAAACTTGGCTGGGTTATCAGACCCTGTTCTTGGCTCAGGTTTCAAGAAGCCATCAGCACATGTACACATGCATGTTGTCACTGCAGCATTCGGTCCTGTGCCTGCAGCCAACTTTGGGGAAAAAAGTGCCTTACTGACTGTAGCCATTACAGTACCCAATGTCTTTGACAGGTGCCTGTCCTTGAAAAAAAAATTTTATTTTTATTTTTAATTGGTTTTAGTTCTTACTGCTGGCCAACTCTTACATCCCCAGCAAATCACTGGGCCGTTGGATTTTTTCCATTATGTTCATCACCCTTGTACCATGTACCTCAGATCTCTCTCTCCCTTCTCTCTCTCTCAGTTACAATTTCTCACCATGGACTTTTTTTCTTTTTCTTATTCTTTTTTTTTTTTTTTTTTTGCTTTAAAATGAGTGTGATGCCATATCGAGTCAATGTTATTCTCTCACAATGTACTCTATAAGAGGTGTGGGTGTTTATTTGGTCGGGATGCTAGAAAGTGCTAAAGTAGCATGGTCAGTGTAAACAAAAAGGTTTTAGGAAGTATGGCAACAAAATGTTGTGTTGGCTATGATGGTGACATGGTATAGCCAGCTGCCTTTTAAGAGGTCTTATTTGTTCAGTGTTAAGCGATTTTAAAAAATAACCTGTTCTTCTGACTAGTTTAAAGATGGATTTGAAAATGGTTTTGGATGCAATTAGGTTATGCTATTTGGACAATAAACTCACCTTGACCTAAATTCTCTGGCTGTTTTTGACTTATAGCCCAGCTGTCCTCAGAATGGAATACACCTGTCTCATGTCAGAACTCTGTGGGTGACACGTTGGTTGTGGCATAAAATACAAATGCTAACTTGGAATGGAATTTAAACGTGTCTTTGCGACAATAGATAGAAGTCATTGTTGACATGCCTTTTTCCTTTTGGGCCACTCCAGCAGCCAGACTGTAAACTAGAAGCTTCAGTCCCCTTCATAAGGCAAGTGGCTGGTGTATGACCAGCCTCAGAGGACAACCCTAATCATTGCCAGCTGCCCACTCCTGTAAGCCAGAAGTTCCCAGCAGAGGAGGTGCCAGAAGCCTGTAGTGCCCCCTCCACATTCTAGGAGTGTCTGGGGATCCCACCCCTGCAGCCTCCCTGGCTCCCGGCTGATTCCTAGTCCTCCCTGCATCCCTCCTCTGAGGCCTGGGCGGAGTCTTTATGGAGTCTGGAGTGGTAGAGCCTGGGACAGGGATGGGACAGTCACCTTAACACTTAAACAAACTGGCAGGCCTTAGGCCCAGCTGTTCTTGGATCTTAGCTTTTCAGACCAGCTTCTTTCCAGGAGTGACGGGTATGCAGAAGGCAATGGCCTCATAACCATTTTGATATTACCGTAAAAATGCATAGTTCCCCATCTCTCAAAGACATTGAAAGCTATTTTCTCTTTTAATTCTGACCTGAGTTGTAAGCCATGAGATTAAAACTGGTCATTGGGAAAGTTCAGATTAAGACATTCCCTACTGATCTGAAGTAACTCCACTTAATATGACTTTTAAGTTTAGAAGGACTCTAGAAATTTCCATTTGTCCCGATTCCCCACTGACATCCACCGTTCTTAGAGACAATCAGGGGTAACTTTTTCCTTGGATATCTGCCCAGTGAAGTCTGCTGGCCTCTTGGGAGTTTCCAGGGCCTCTGGCTGCTGCTCGTAACCATCTCGGGAGTTCTTTTCTGCACAACCTCATGTCCAGAGTCTCCCTCCCTCCCCTCCGTCCTTTTGCTCTGCCGTGTGGGTGTATCTGTTAAGAGCACAGCAACTCTGCCCCCTCTCCAGTCCAGACTGCCACCCAGTGACACCACCAGGTGCAGGCAAAGCTCCCAGAGGGCTGGTGATAAATCTAACTGTCCGGCACATGCTCTTTCAGACCCAGATCACCTTATAACTGGAAAACCACAGACTTGAAACAAAAGTTCCCTTCCTGAAAGTGGAAGTTAAAGATGCAGTGAAGATCTGGAAATCCCCTATC